GCGCGGGCGAGGCGGGGGGGGCGGCGGGCGCGAGGGGGGGGGGGGGGTGACGTCATCTGCCTGCGACCCGCGGGCAGTTTAAAAGGTCGCATTGGACCAGCGAGCGGGGGGGACACCGGTGAGGCGGACCCACCCTGGCAGTGAGCGGGAGGGCTCAGGTACTGGAGGCCCTGGGCTGGGGCCCGAACGGAAGGCCTCGGTGGCGAGGTGATTTAGGCCGGGGGAAGAAGTGGCCCAGGGCGGGGATGTGCGTCATCTGCCTGCGACCCGCGGGCAGTTTAAAAGGTCGCATTGGACCAGCGAGCGGGGGGGACACCGGTGAGGCGGACCCACCCTGGCAGTGAGCGGGAGGGCTCAGGTACTGGAGGCCCTGGGCTGGGGCCCGAACGGAAGGCCTCGGTGGCGAGGTGATTTAGGCCGGGGGAAGAAGTGGCCCAGGGCGGGGATGTGGACCCCGAGAGCGGGGGAGTTTAGGGTTCTCGACCCTTCCCCCCCGCTAGGTGGGAATTCTTTTCCTGACCTTAGGGCCCTGGGTCGGGGTCCGGAGCGAGGGCGGGCCCGGACCCCCTTCTCCCAACCGGCTGAGCAGAGCAGAGCCGGGCACGCACGGCCGACAACGGCTAAAAGGACTAAAGGGGGGCGGACGTAAGCCCTCCCCGGGGGCGCAGTCCCCCACAGTAACCCAGGGGCTGCCTGTATACAAAATGTTTCCAAATAAGTGTAAAGCAATTTGGCTAAGATTGTTTTTCAACATTATTTCTTTATCCTGTTATTTTTGAATAGCCCCTCAGGAGCTCAGATCTTTTTTGTGTGTTTGTTTCTATTTAGTGGCAGTATAATTAATAATGACACAATTGCCTCTTCAACTAATTCGATTGTCGAAGATAAACTTTGAGTTGTTTTTTTACTCCTTTTAGTGGAGTCAACATATTATAAAACCCCTGTGCTGAAGGATGTCCTGTAGGTAGGGTACTACACTAGGGCTTGGGAAACCTGGGTTGAAATAACTTCAATACCACAGATTTCCCTGTGTGATCGTAAGCAAGTCACCTATCCTTTCTGTGCCTCCATTCCCCCTCTGAGGATAATAACACTTCCCGTCTCATGGATGTGTTGTGAGGATGAATATATGAGAGATTGTGAGGAGCATACATGAAAGGTATTTATCAAGCAAACAATAAAATGTTAGGACAGTCAGAACAAAGCACTCCCCAAAGTAGTCAGCAATTTTTGGAACTGGACTGTAGGTTACCAAGTATTTGTCACTTTACTTTCTTATTTAAAAGTCTCAGAGGAGTAACCGTGGTAGCCTGTAACTTAAAACATTTTAAAAAGGAGTGGTCCTGTGGCTCCTTAGAGACAAACAAAAATTTAGATCGTTTCCTGAGCTTTTACGAACACAACCCACTTCTTCAGCTGATGAGTAAAGTAAGAGTGTTTAGGGAGTGCTGAAGAGTTTGTGTGACTTTTTTCTCTATTGTAATTTAAATACATTTCCAAAATTATTGAAACTGATTGAATGATTGAATTGCATTATTTTGACAAATATAATATGAAAAATTTGCAGACATTTTAATATCTGATTCATAATTTTTAAATTTCTGGAGCCAAATTCCCTCCAGGAGTACCGTATAGAGAGCTTACGGAGAAAACAGAGCAGACAGTGTTTTGAAATCAGTACATTTAAGCTAGAAACGACATACCAAATAGTTCTGGTAAGGAAAGCTGAAATTTCAAGTTGAAATGCAATGGTCATATTTTACCCTTCCTGTATGTGTTATCCAGGTGTGGTCTTCAATGATGGTATGCTCATGTATAACGAAAGGACTTTTCCTGTGTGTTCAGAAATTTGAAGCTTCACTATTGAGGGATTTATAGCATAATTTTCCTAGCATTGAGAAAGGAAAAGACAAAGGAAAAGACCAGTATATCCTGCAGGACAGGGTTTTTAAAATATTTGGGACACTGAAGCCTGGTTCATAGTGCAGGCTGGCACTTTGGAGAGTTGTGGTTTTATTCCTAGCTCTGTCACTGGCCCCCTGGGAGACCTTGGGCAAGTCATTTTCTCTCTCTTTGTTTTGGGTCTGGTCTATAAATAAAACTTAGCTACATTGCTCAGGGCTGTGAACAATTGCATGGTATGTGTGATATAGGGAATTTGACTAAATTCCTAGTGTAGATGCAGCAAAAGCAACAGAAAAATTGGTCCATCTGACCAAGAGGAGCCAATATCACCTCTAAAGCTGCCACCAATTTAGAAGAAATTGACCATCAAAGGAGCTGAGAATAGTAGAATCAGATTTGAATAGTACATGAGTCCATTTCTAGAGAGAGGGGGTTTACTTCTAGTCTTTTGGCTACTCCTAGCAATCCCATTGAAGTCCTACTGTGAGTAATACTGGAACCCAGTGCATTCCAAATTGCCCCGTGCTGTTCCTAAAAAAAGATGAGTAATGTATGGAGCAAACTTCCATGGCTCAATCATCCACACTAGCCACATCAAGGAGGAAATGGGAAGGACCTGAAGATCTCTGCCATGCAAAGTTCATAACACTGGGATTGTACTGATTCCTCTGTTTCCTGTAGGTGGGGCAGGAGTTGCCCTTTATTGCAGACATGTTGACACATAACAAGCCCACACCTTCTTCGGGTGTTAACAGTGCACTAACAGAACAAGGAGTTCCCAAGAAGAATAGCTGTTACTTGTTGCATATCCACCAGCAAACTCATGATATCAGTTGATTCTTAACCATTTCTAGATATGCCTGATACAGGTCAGAACACTAAAGATGACAGCAGTGTAACTATAAACTTCTTCAAAGCCTGCTTTTAATTAACCAATCTGTACATCTTAGCAAACTGTGCCTGTAGTTTTGTACATATAGGGCACATTACCAGAACCGTTATCTCTGGTATCTTGTTTTGCTGTCTGCTAAAAGCCATTTGGCTATTTCAAAATGGTTGTCAAGTGCTGTCAGCATACACAGGAACTAGGTCTGAAGATGCCTAAAGAGACTGTAACGTGATTGTATTTCACCTTCAACACTTTTTGATGTCATTTCTTTAGAGATACCTAAGGTTGGGTCTTCTGTCTAATAGGATGAGAAAGCAAATGGGAGATGCATTTAGCCTTTGGAATACATTGTTACAAGCTTACTCTTGGAGCCACAATCTTAATAGGAAATTTATGCGACTAACAAGAATATCCAGAATTGCGTTAGTGAAGAATTTCAAAAGAGTTTTGGAAGAGATATAAAACTTACATATTTCAGAGAATAAATACACTTATAACTAATGAGGATTAGGAAGAAACCTGCCGTGGCAGCTAATTAACCCAGGACTGCTTAGTGCAGAGTTTCTTGCATCTTTCTTTAAAGCGGCTAGTAGTTGCTGTCAGAGACCAGATACTGGACTAAGTGAGCCTTGTGTGTGAGCCAGTATGACTGCTCTGGTGTTCCAATGCAGTGATTGTGAAAGGCTTAGGATCTTCTTGGCCCATATCTAAATATCTACTTTTATTAGTCAAAAGGTTTGCAGTGAAAGCAATGGCACCCAAAGCAATGCACAGTCTGGAGAAGTGGTGAACCCTTACAAAAAAGTTGGAGTCTCTTAGCAGTACAATTACTGTACCAAAGTCACCACTTACCATATTCTCCAACTAGAGGGAGATAATACAAATGATCACGAACTATGATATAATTATTCTTGGTTATCATAGTTTCCAATCATTTGTATTATTTTCCTGTTGTGGGAAACAGAAGTAGCAGAAAATAAATTGAACTTAAGTGTTCTTTTGTTTCTTTTGTGCAGCAAAACAAATAGGGAATGCACTTAAGTATCGCTGCTTCCAGAGAAAATCCCTCCTTAAAATAAAGGACAGATGAAAAGTCAATCAAATGTCATTAATGGGCCATACATCATAACTCAAAAAGGCTAGATCTAACAGGATTATGAGTTAAGGCCAGGCTGTTCCACATCACACGAATTAGCTTGGCATTTAGCATTAGTGACATTGTTAAATAGTATATGATGAGTAGGAGAGACAGGTTCACTCTACTAAAGAAACTATAACTGAGGGAAAAGGGGCTAACAGATGTGTGTGAAATTCCAATATCAGGACCCAATGCTGCAATGAGTGCTGCATCTCCACAGAATCCCACTGAAGTCAATGTAGCTCTGCTAGGGACCATCCATACAGAGCTCATTGATGGTTCAGAGCTTAAACCTGTTCTCCTTGGCTGCATCTACACTGCAATGCTATTTTTGGATACTGGAGTATCCAGGAATAACTATTCCGCATCTTCACAGGAAGCCAATTATTTTGAAATATAATGAGCTTGCTATTCTGACATCCCTGGAAACCTCATTCCACGAGGAGTAAAGGAGGTTTCGGATCAACGGATTATTTCAAAATTTGGTGCTATGTAGACCGTTCCAAAGTACAAAATAAGCTAGTTTGAAATAAGGTAAGCAATGTGCATAGCTCCAATTGTGTATCTTATTTCAACCTACTGTGCAGTGTAGACACACCCCTTGTATCCTTCCTCTGACAAGAAATATCTAAGGCCCTGTCATGGCCCACTTTATAGATTCATGGTGAAGGACAGAAGGGAAGGGCCAATTGTGATGATCTAGTCTTACCTCGTGTAATAACACAAGCCACAAACCTTCCCCAAAATAATTCCCAGACCAACTATTTTT